TGCCAGTGAAAACTAGTGGTTGCACCCCGCGACTTTATAAGGCTAGCAGATACCGAAGCGAGGCCACAAGTAGAGCTATAGGGTGTTGTCGTAATAGCTTCTGTAGGCAAGACGGAAAAAGTGTCAGATACAGGATGTGTCGTAGAGGACGGTCCAGGCTGAACCTCGTCGGCTAAATGACTACCAATATGCTGGTGGAAGGCTTCTAAATGCTGAGCAAGATGAACGCGAGAGGAGAACTCTTCGGAGCAGGGTTTGACGGGGCAAGTAAAGGAAAGATCAGAAAGACAGTTCCCGCTACTCTGAGTACCATTTACGCGAGCTAAAATAGATTAATGAAAGGGTAGTTATAAATGTAATCAATGAATGGCATCAAGGATGTGCATTTTCCAGGAAAAACAAACAAAAATACTTATTTTTCGTTTAAAAGCAGATTTTTAAGACTAACAGTAATAAAGCTATTAGATCTCATATAAAGCAAAATATTGACTGCTCTCAAAGAAATTAAAGGACTTTCAACGCTTTGATATTGTTAGTTTCAAAATAAGAATGAAAATATCAATGCAAAACTGAGTAAAAATGTAAACAAAACTTTCTGGTCACTTATTCTAGAATGCTAACCAAGTTTTATATAAATAACAGTAAATAATACATCGCAAATTAAATGAAAAAAACGTTCAATAGATGAAAAGGAGGATGTGTGAAGGCCACGGAAAGTAAACATACAAAGGATAGAAGACGCCTTGAGATCACCATAGCGCTTCCAGTAGTTCCAACAATTGCTGCATACCTTTAAGAGACATGTTGGAGGACCTAGTGCATACCACTGAGCAGAATTTAAGGCTTGACAACCTTCACATCGATTTGGAGGATTATCAGGCACACCTGGATTCCCAGAAGGAGGATATAAAACGGCAGGGTTCGGCTTGTTATAGTTTGGAATGTATACCTGCTTGAGGCGATGCTCAGCCTCAGCAGCTTTCATTCGTTTTTGTTGGACATGATGATCAGTTGTTTTCCACATGTAATAAAAATCCACGAGACTCTAAAATTTAGGCGCAATTTATACATATATAAATATGAAGAATCAAGTGAGCAATTAAGAATTACGTACTTTGGGCATTTTCCATGGAAGGAAATCGCTATGAATATCACCGAAGCATTTGC